TTTTGTTTTGCCAAAGTTTATTCCAACTAAATGCCTGTTTAATAGATTTGACGAACAGGCCCTAATAGAACAAATTTTCGAATTAAAACCATTTAATTCTTTTATTATAAAATTCGACTCAATTAACTTTTTATTAGCAAAACCGACCCATTTCGTGCCACGTCAGCAGCGTGGCCACGAAATGGATCGGTTTTTTAAATGACATCGCTAAATAGTCGGTGTTGCCAACTTCGACTATTTAGTTATGTCGGGGTTGGCAACACCGACTATTTTGCTATGGGTAAGCTAAAATAGTCGGGGTTTCTAACCCCGACTAATTTAGGCCCCTCTCTAATTGGTCGGCGTTGGCAACCCCAACCATTTTGAAAGCCCATTCGAAATGGTCGGGGTTCCCAAACCCGACTATATGGCAAAGACCTCTGGCCCAATCGCCCAGCGGTGAAAACGGCTAAGTGACAATAGTTGGGGTTAACAACCCCGACTATTTGTTCACTGGGCCCACGACCTATATAAAGGTCACGACTTCACTCTCCTCTCTCCTGTTCGGTTCCAGCCGCCTTTCTCTCTTATTTTCGTCGTTCTCCTCCTCCCAAACTCTCTTTGAGCCACGGATCGCAACTTTCAACCTCAAGTTTTGTGCGGAATTTTAGGGGTGAAAGATCTAACAGGTACTTGCTCTCCCTTCTCTCCTCTTTTGACACGTAGAAATCTAGGGTTTTCTCTCCAAAACGAATTTATAGTGTTTGAACTCTATTTGTAGTGGTTTATTTAGAAATTTTATTCTTGTTGTAGTTGAAATTAAATATTTGGGGGCATAGAATACTCAATTTTAGGGTTTAGAATTTGAGGGTCAATTTAGGGTTTAGGATTTGGGGGTGTACGGTTGTAATTGGGTTTTAGGATTGTAATTAGGTTTTAGGGTATTAATTGATGATATTTTTTAAATTTTTTGCATTTAAATGATATAATTTTGATTTGCATAGGTTGAACAGTATGATTTTTATTGCTTGCTCTTATGGTGGGACGATTAAGTATGGAATGAATAATAAGCCAATGTACGTCGGAGGGGTGACAATCCCGTTAATGATATCGGAATCATACAGTTACCTTGACTTGGTTAATGAATTGCATGGAGTTACGACAATTGACCAACGAGATTGAGAGTAGTTTGGGAAGCGATTAGGTCGACCGGTGGGCACTAAGTAAAGATGGAGAGAATCGCTATTGCATGATAACAACTAATTGTTCTGAAAGCTTCAATGGTGTACTTAAGGGGGCTTGAGTAATGCCCATACAGGCGTGGTTGTGAGGATATTTTATAGACTAAATAAGTATTTTGTCAAGCGGCGAGAGGATGGAGCAAAGTGGGGGACGTTGTTGACCCCCAAAAATGAAGAGATTATAGGAGCTCGTGTCAAGCAGGCCAGATTGACTAAGATTGTGAGATTTGCTAGACAATCACGGTCAAAATTACACCATCAATTTACGAGGGACACAATGCGCATGCACATGTAACATACCAGAATTATAAAAATTAAAATGTTCACATGTTATAGCGGTTACGACCAAGCAATTTGGGGGTGCAAATACATCGTATTACACATACGCTTCTGAGTGGTACCAATCAAGCCACTATAGAGATTCATACAGTCAGTTTTTTCATCCCATTGTAGATAGTCGTTACTGGCCAACCTATAACGGGCCGCATGTGTTACCTCCTGAATTTAAGAGGCAAGCCGGACACCCGAGATCAACACGCATAAAGTCAACGATGGATGGAGGTCGGGAAGGAGTTCCAAAAACAAATAGATGTGGATATTGTAGACAACCGGGCCACAGGAGATCTCATTGTCCCTTCAATCCAAATAAATAGCAATTAATGGGTATAATTATTCTATTCTTTGTTAATTATTCAACTTCGTTTATATTTCATTATATTCTACTTCATTATATCATCATATGTGCTTCATTTATATCATCATATGTGCAGATATGAAGTCAGGGCCAATGACGTATGAGGTCCTTTATGACCAACCTCGACATCGATCCGCGAAGATTGACACTGGGGAGGTAATTAGATTGATAGTTATAAATTACATTTTCATTCAAGAATTATTCTAAGTTATTGGTTGTTACTGAACATTTGCACTGTTTATTATATGCAGGCCCCGAGCATTACTATCGTTGATCACACTCGTGCACACTCGAGCTGGGAGTTGACTGATCCACATGTCTAATATTATGTCCGTCAAGCATGCTTCTTTGAGTGCTCACAAATTAAATGTGTGAGACTTGATTGGGTTCTCTTGACGGCACTGGCTGGACGATGGAGGCCCGAGACAAACACATTCCACATGCGCCAAGGAGTGTCGACGATTACATTGCAGGATGTAGGAGTTTTGCTTGGACTCCGAGTGGATGGAGATGTTGTCACAGGTAGCGACGACTTCAACTGGTTAGACAAGTGTGAAGCATTGTTGGGTCAAGTTCCTCACATGAGGGGTGGAAGGATCAAACTTGAATAGTTGAGAAACAATTTTATGAATGTTCCGATCGATGTGACCGAGGAGATCGTCAAGATGTATGCCCGTGCATACATGCTTCACATGATCGGTACTATTCTATTCCCGGATTCCACGAAGGATTCGGTGCACGTGAGGTGGTTCCCACTCCTGGAGGATCTTGTGGATTGTGGGGGATTGTCATGGGGGAGTACCGTGTTAGCGTATCTGTATAGGGAGATGACCAAAGTGGCTCTTGTTCAAAACAAAGAATTCAAGGGATGTCTCACTCTGCTACAGATATGGTCTTGGGAGAGATTGCATTTGGGTTGCCCAGATTTGAGAGAGGCACGTGCTCTCGATGACCATATTCCGTTAGGCTGCAGGTATTACTAAGTTATTTTAAAAAATATATGATTACATGTAATTTTATACATTTATTTTAATTTATACTAACTCATTGTATATAAATTAGATGGAATGTATCTAGATCTTGGCATACCTCACCAAAGGGTCATGAAAACTTCTATAGGAACGAGCTCGATCAAATGGAGGACGAACGGGTATTAAATCATAATATCTAAAAATTTTCAATCATTACATCATTTATTACTGAAATCTGCTTTACTTTATCTTTTTATAGGTCAAGTGGATGCCATATGAACAAGTTTTAGAGTCACTACCAGATATATGCACAGAAGAGCCGGATGTGTGGCGTGCTCCCATCCCGATCATATGTTTTGAGATTATCGAGATGCACGTGCCCAACCGTGTGCTCCGACAATTTGGGCTACAACAACATATCCCGGACCCTGTGGAGATAATAGAGAGAAATCCCAGAAAAGGTGCACATCGTCAAGATTGGGAACATATTCACAGTGCTTACATCGGGAGGTGGGATAACAGGGAAGAACAGTTGGTGATGGAGAGGGTTGACGCACCTGACCTAGGTGTGTATTTGCGGTGGTATTAGGGGATTACTCGCCGGTGGATATTTCAGGAGAACAAAGCCCCTAAGGAATACATACCAAGAGGCCCAGTTGAGAGAGAGTTGGTAAGTGTATAAGCAAAATATACAGTTATCTTGTGAGTTTTATTTTATTATCATCCAAATCATAATAGCTTTCTTGGGGTTTTTATCATATAGGTACAAGAGCTCGAAGAACTTTCTACTATGGCGCATGATGCAATCCGAACGACTACCGAGCCAGGGCCGAGGAACACGTTCCTTCGCATGATCAAAAAGATTCGGTCCGCTCTTCAAAGGATGCGTAATGTAAGACGAGATGGACGTGAGGAGCGACCAATTGAGTACGGTCGTCACCGGTTCCGAGGACACTCAGGGGCAGGCTCAAGCGGTGCACTTGATGAAGCTGGCGGCTCACAGCAGGGCCAAGCTGGATGTTCACAGTCGGTTCGAGTCGATGAGGATGTCATGCACTCCTAACTTCACACACAACCGGACAAGGAACTGATCCGAGCTCACGTCGAAGGTGAACGTGTCAGGGGGAGAGGGAGGGGGAGAGGGAGGGGGAGAGGAAAGAGAGTTGTATCCGATTAAAACTGAATATTATGTATCTGATTGAGTATTGATAGGATGTTTGCGTTTGAAACTAAATATTATGTATTCGATTGAGTATTGATTATTAGTATGTGAATTGCATGGTATGTATCCGATTGATTATGGATTTTTATTTGAGATTATTGATTGGTATGTATGTTATTGTGATTGTGATTGCATTGTGGATTGATATGTAACAACATGAGCTTGAATTTCCAGCGGAGTTCGTATTTCCAGCTATTTTCAGCTGAAAGAGTCTGCCAAATGGTCGGGGTTAGGAACCCCGACCATTTTGTGCACGAACACGAAACGGTCGGGGTTCCCAAACCCGACCATTTTGTCGTAGTAAAATAAACATCAGCTACCTCTCTGCCAAATGGTCGGGGTTGCCAACCCCGACCAATTAGAGATGAGCCTAAATTAGCCAGGGTTGGAAACCCCGACTATTTTAGCTTGCCCATAGCAAAATAGTCGGGGTTGCCAACCTCGACATAACTAAATAGTCGGGGTTGGCAACCCCGACTACTTAGCAGCGTTATTTAAAAAAAACCGATCCATTTCGTGGCCACGCTGCTGACGTGACACGAAATGGGCCGGTTTTACTAATAAAAAGTTGATTGAGTCGAATTTTATAATAAAAAAAATTAAATGGGTTTAATTCGAAAATTTGTTCGGCCCTAATATTCAAATGGACTCGAGGACAAGCAATTTACACAGACTAGCCGCACGTATTTTTCGGCTGTTGCACTTTGGATCCACGCCTTCGTCGACAGCATCGAATCGAAGTTCCATAAAGAGGCCCCACCCTCTTTTAGTCCCCAGCCAAAATGAGCCCGTCATTATTATTATTAAACCCCGCACGTTTGAGCTTCAACGGGACACCCTCGCCCTCCTTCGCCCGACCGCCTCGGATAAACCCGATACCTTCATCTTCTTCCCCCTCCGAGGGTTATTGTTCCCCCATGGATTCGAGGAAGGAATCCCCAGAATTGAATCGGAACCTTTACGCGGCCGTTGAGCCGTACAGTTCGGGGTTCCTGAGGGTCTCGGATCTCCACACGCTGTACTGGGAGCAGTCTGGGAATCCAAGCGGATATGTGAGTTAATCATGCGGATCGAATTGTCGAATTTTTTTTTCTCCCCCTTCTCTAAATTACAAGGGGAGTCGCGCGTGATGTTAAGGTTGATGCTTAAAAAGTTTGTTTCTTTTTTATCTGGAAGTGTTTGAACGTGAGGATGGGGATTGTTTTGGAACGATTTCTAATTCAAATTTATGCCGTTCTTTGAACTACACGCCTAGTAGATTCATAGGCTTCTTGACCGTTCGAATTTTAAAGAGGGCATGTTCGCTGAAAGTTTTAGTAGAGGGGTACATATTATCATGGAAGTTATGCCCATAGAAAGTCTTATTATATAGGTAGACCGGTAGGGCCTTTGCTGATAAAATATGCTGATATCCTCCATATTTTAGTGGGCAAGTGTGGAGCATTCAAGAAATGCACCAACTCATGAATATTTGGTTGTCAATAAGCTATTATGGGGAAGGTCTACTTCGAGAAGTCCTTGCAATGCGCTTGCTTATACTTATCCTGCTAATGATTGATCAGATATAAAGAATTAGAAAGAATAAGAGTAGAGGCATTATGTTTACACCACAACACCAACGATAATGAGCTTCTATGGACAAGGGGTTTTTGTCACTTCTTCCCAAGTATTATTTGCATGGAAATCAATCAAAAAATATAGTAAAAAAATATAAATCCGCCTAAAAGGACACAAACCTGTATACATATGCTCATGCACCCAAACACAGCCACACCAACCCACCATGAAAGTTAAAAAAACAGTTCAGTGATTAGTCTATTGTTCGAAAAAGTTGCTGAGGACAAATTTTGCTCTAGACGTGTTATTCTCTTATTGGGTCTCAAGCTTTGATAAAAGAGGATGCTTGCACCAGTCATCGGGTAGAAATAAAATTATCCAAGGAACATGTTTATCGGAAAATGAGAATACTAAAATAGATGAGGAGCAATGCACCAAGCGATGAATTGCATTTCTAGAAATGGTGGTGTTCCATTGAGGATAAATGAGGAAAACCAAATTAAGTTTCTTAACCTAGTAAGTGCACCCAGGTTATAGGAATTTAAATTGATAAGGTAACTCTCCCTCCTTTATCAAAGAATGTTTATGGCTGTGATATGTGTGAAGGGACAACGTAGGCTGAAGGCTAAGTAAGAAGTGAGAAAAAGAGAAAGTACTTTCTCGTAATGAAAAGAAGTAAGCAGAGAATGCAGTTACAAAATAACTTTACCTAATTCTTGTTTGACTTGTGGAAATTGGAAACTTGGAAATTAGTGCATCATGCGTTGTTTGCCTTTGGTTTGTGAGAAAATTAATGTTATGAAGAGATGGTGACAACCACAAAACCGGAGATCTGTGAACAGTGGAGGAGCCGGGGGGCTGACGGTGGCCATGGCCCCAGGCCATTGGCTACCTTGTTATATAGGGTATATAGTTCTAGCATAATGGTCGTTTAAATCTTTCATATTTTTAAGCTGCTCCCTGAACTCATTGAAATTGATATTCGATCCTCAATAGTAAGTAGTTTCAAATTAATTCCTCTAATTGCTACAACTACTCTTGATTGAAGAGTCTAATTAAGTTCAATGATTTGAGGGACTTATTCAAAATAGGAAAGATTTAATGGATTAAATTTGAAAAAACCTATTTAACTGAAAGTAATTGTACACACAATATAGTTAAGTTAAAAACTAATGGAGTTGTGGGCCTGTGGATGAGAACAACTAACTAAGTTATGAGTGGGTGGATGAAAAAGACTAAGTGGCACAACTAGCAAATTAATTAACATGATTTTCACTCATCCGCAATTAGTATGAAAGCCTCTTTTATTTGGGTGATGTGGTTTGCATTTTGGTCAAGAATTTCGGATGTGGTTTTGCATTTTGTGATGGAATTGTGAAATGGAGTTCTTTCAATTCCATTAAGTTTTACATTAAAAACTGATATATGAAATAGTATAATCTATAGCGTGTAATCAATCTATCAGGTCTTCAAAAGTATTAAAATTTGTAGTTTATAGTTATGGAAAAAACCAACTACAGTTTGTACATTATAAAAAATAAACTTTAGAAGATTGAAGCAGATTCATGATTATTCATGATAATATTTTTTTGTAATTAAACCGTTATCCTAGATTCTTCTTTCACTTACTTACATATGTTAAGTTATTATATTATAATATTTGGTCACTTTTTAATGGTGCAGTACTATAGTTGTATTTTGACCCCCCAAAGGAAAATCCTGGCTCCGCCACTGTCTGTGAATGCAAGAACTTAGACTAATTTACCACCAAGTTCAGACTGAAACTAATTCACCACCAAGTTCCTCTCATCCTTGACCAGATGCTGGTGCCTTTGATACGTAATAATTTCTTTTACCATTTCTAACTACTTAAATGCTAAGCTACCATGTTTGCTCTTCCAATGTACTTTATCCCTGAACCATTTTCTTCATCATTGGCGTTCTTCAGGAAAGAGACAATTTTTTTTGTTAATATATTGTATCTTAATACTGGATTAAAGCAAATAAAAGATCTAAATGAACCTTTGTTGGTATCTCTAACTTGAAAGTTATGATCTGCAAACAAAAATTCTGGGAAGCAGAGCTGCAGAAGTTCCAGGATAAGACAGTAATTTGCCTTATTCTTGAAGAAGAATAAGACAAACTTATATGATCTGAGATCATAACAATAGCAGATAGAAATCCTTTGGAGGCAAAAGTAAAATCTCCTATCAACAGTAGAGGTCAAGAGTATAATAATGCACAATCACGTTGTTCCTGGTAAAGAGACCTTATTGAAACATCTATAATCATACTTTTAATTCTAGAAACTGGGCTGTGAAATGGGAGACTGAATGACGGGCCGGAAGATGGTGGAAGCATACCAGTTATCATCAAATGAATTGATTATTTCACAGGTCAAGCATTTAAAGGTCAACTCGAAGCTGATCTCAATGGACAGGCTTCACTACATTTTATAGTCAATAGATATGCTCACATGATCAAATCAGTTCACACACACAAACACATATTATATCCCTGTGCGCGTGTGTGTGTGTTCAAGTCATTTTACTGCCATTTTCCATTTCTTTTTGCCAGTTTATGTTAATTTCCAGATGTCTTATGGTGATTTTCTTGATGTATATTGTATTTTGCAGCCTGTTGTGTTTCTTCACGGCGGACCAGGAGCTGGAACGTCACCCAGCAATAGAAAATTCTTTGACCCTGAATTTTACAAGATTATTTTATTTGATCAGGTTTACTTTCTAAACTGAAGTTCTTGAGGTGGTTGTTCTTGAGGTGGTTGTTTGGCTTGATACCTAATAGCTACACATTACTTGTGAATTGACCAGAGAGGTGCAGGAAAAAGTACCCCTCATGCCTGCTTAGAGGAAAATACAACATGGGACCTAGTTAGTGACATTGAAAAACTAAGGGAGCATTTGAATATCCCAGAGTGGCAGGTTAGCAGTTTGGTAATTGATTTGCACTTATTATTGCATGTCTGTTAACTTTTATAGAATATTTCAGGTGTTTGGTGGATCATGGGGAAGTACTCTGGCCCTTGCATACAGCCAATCACACCCTGACAAGGTCGGAATTGGTATCATTCAAATCATTTTCTTGAGAGCTTTGTTTACCCAGTACTGAGCATCCTTCTTTGAGATCTATGCTAATAGTATGTTCTTCATTTCCTTTGTTTTTCTCCTAAAGGTCACTGGGATTATTCTTAGGGGCATCTTTTTATTGAGGAAGAAGGAATTAGATTGGTTTTATGAAGGTGGTGCAGCAGCTATATATCCAGATGGTATTCTAATCACCTTTGGACTGTTAGTTGTTACCTGAAACTTTATTTATCTTAGCTGGAAGGTATCTCTATATGGAAAAATGCTCGTATTTATTCACAAAGTTCAAGTGATATTCAATTATTCATTAGACTGCTTACCTTAATGTCGTCCAGGGTTCAGTTGCTAACCATTTTCGTGAAATCAATGTTACTCGTACAACTTGAAAAAGAAATTAGTATTGTTCCAGCCATAATCTTTTCCATTTAGCAATTTAATTATAACCTCTTGGGCAAGCCTTTTGAGTCCCCTAGAGGCTAGAGCTCGAGTCATCTTGGGCTGTAGACGAGTATACTAAGGACTCTTGCCAGTTTAAATTCTCTTCTATCGTGATTTGGAGTTGCTAAACCTAAACTAGCCCGTTCACAAAGAGTCAAATTAAACCTGTGCAACCTATTGAATAACTAGGTGTTGATTGGCCTAATAAATTTTAATCTGCTAATTTTTTAGATCTTAGGCAATACAATACAAGTACAGTTTGTCCATGGGGAGAGGTAGGAGTCATATTTAAAATTCCGTCGGCGTCATTAGCACTGGGATATCCCGTAACTGCAGTATAAAGCTTTGCATGGTATTTTTTTCATTTTATGAGAGCATTGGGTGGATAGGATAGCTTTGTTCTGCCAGCATTTTCGTGAAGGGATAAGTCAGAATGAGTGGGTTGAAAAATTGAACCGAATGAGTGGGTTGAAAAATTGAACCCAAACGCAAGTTCTTGTATGAGCCAACTCAACTATGTGCTAATCCATGTCGATTTGGGTGCTTTTATACAATTTTGGATTCATAGCTAGTGGGAGAGTTCTGTATGAGATGTAGGGAGATCTTGAAAAATTGTGGTAGGCATGTAGAATTTTTTACTTTATTACTTGCAAGCTTTTGTTGTTTTTATGATTGGAACATATGTTAATTTAGGTATACATAACATGTGAAATGTTCATATGGGTTTTCAGCTTGGGAACCCTTCCGAGATTTCATTCCTGAAGACGAAAGATACAATTTTATTAATGCATACAGAAAGAGGCTGAATTCCAGTGATGCCAATGTCAAGGTATGTTCTGTGCTTCTGTTCCCTCTGTCAGGTAAAAGCTCCGTGTTCACAATATTATTTGAGGGCTTATTATATTCTGTTAGGAACTTAGGAATATGAAAAAAGCTAATGTGCCCGAGATTGTCTTGAACTTAACTTTTCTATTTCGCTTGGATATTTTTTGTCAGTTAGGCTCTCAATGTCTAATGATGATTACTTTTATCTGTCATGTCATTTGGACCAAAGCTCAACGCTCGATATGTATGGTTCTTCCTTATTTTCAGACTGAGAATGGGGGAAGTAACAAAATTATGGAAAAAGAACCCATCTCTTGTAAAGTTAGACAAGGTTCTTAACATATGAGAGATTATCACACCATTCATTTATTTACTTTCATAATAATCAAATGTAAGGTCCCATTTATTGGTTCTTTTGAGGCAAAATGAACAATGTAAGGTTATATAGAACTAAATCACCTGGTAAGGTACTTATCATGCGAAAACAGGTACGCGTAAGTAGGCAGCTGTCCTGATCATAAGTACTTTAAATGTACGTCAGTAATTTTATGTGGTTATAGAAGTTCTCCCTCTGGTTAAGCCATTAAAATCATGTGTTGAAGTTCCAGTCTTGACGCCTTTGACTTGGCATTGAGGTTCCATTTCTTATTTCAAGTATGCTGAGATAGTTTACAAAATAGAAGTTACTTTAATGTGTTTTGGAATATGATTCCACAGCATGCAGTCACTGCTTGTTTCTGCTACCTTTTTGCAGGCGGTGGGTAACCTGATAAGCATAGCAGTGAAATTCAGAGTCTGTGTTAGTTGTTTTACGATAAATATTCAGACCGTACAACTTGGCTATTGTTAGCATATTGTTGTTAGAAGAAAGTTTAGCACTTGAGCTGTAGCTGATACTAGGAAGAGATGTGAACATGTGTATAAACTAGAAATAATAGATCACAATGTTTGGACTATGTGAAAGGCATGTGTGTGTATGTGCGTGTTTGTGTGTGTGGGGAGGATGATACACGGCAAAAATTTTAGAGATCCTGATTTGACAACTTTAAGTTGGAACTACACATTCTCCAGGAAAATAGTTACAATATGATGTCAATCGTTGTAGATACTATTATAACTTTTATACCCAAGTAAATAATGGTGATCCAGACGCCTCTTTCTCTACATAGTAAGCTATTTGTTACTGTTTTTATTTTCTAAGCTATTTGTCACTGCTATTTCTTTATAAGCTATTCATGATATTTTCCTCAGACGTGTTACATTGTTGGTTCAGGTTATGGCTGCAAAAATTTGGACTACATGGGAATTGATGACTGCACATCTTATTCAAAATGAAGAAAATATCAAAAGAGGAGAGAGTGACAGTTTCTCTCTGGTCAGTGCTTGCCCATATATCATTGTATGCCCTACTTAAATAAATCAACACATAAACTGGCTTCATTGTGTACCGTTTTGTATTTTGAAGGATGAAATTGCGCTGGAACAGATACTTGAATTAGTATGACTGAGTTAAAATTTTATTTGCAATTAAACATTACTCCATATGAACTATCAAGATTTGTAATGCCTATATCATCCTTAACTGATGTTCTGCAGAAACACACAGGAAGTTGGAATGTTTTATTAATAGTTGTAGTATTTGGTATCAGCTGACTGCTTTTATACCAATTTACTTTCAACAACTCTTTGTTTGTTGACTATTAATTGCTGCTGGATGGTAGTGGCAAGTTTAAAATTTCCTTCTTCAAGTAGTCCAGAAACAAATGATAATTATATATGAACACGTAGCACATCATACTGAAAATTAGTTCACTTGGTCTTAAGATTAAGTGTAAATTTGTGGAAGTATGCCATTGTCATGTGGGTACAGATACCTTCATTCTCCGGTATCTTCATTAGTAAAGGATATACTTGCAACCAAAGGAGAGGTGGCTGTTCTGGGTAATGGTCATTAGTGAATACATTCTTTCTGGCAGATCTCTAGGTTTAGAACTGTGTTCATAAATAATATTTCTGCTTAAGTGCTTTCTCGGTCATTTTGCATTTGACTCTATTTGTAGAACCTGGTCCTGGCCAAATTTTTAATCTAAAATGGAAAAAAAATTAATTTCTCATTTTCTTTATGCAGGCTTTTGCTCGGATCGAAAACCATTACTTTTTCAACAAAGGATTTCTCCCTTCAGACTCATACCTGTTGGATAATGTTGATAAGATACGGCACATTAAGACTGTTATTGTGCAGGTAATTTGTTTCTTATGACAGACAACCAATATGGGTGAATCTCTTCATTTTTTATATTGGTAATTTGTTAAGTCTTTTTTGTTCACTAAATGCTGCCACCATTAGCCACAAGACTTTGATACTAGGAAGTACAAACTCCATATAACAATAATAAATTTCAGTTACAGCATTGTTTAGCGCTGCATTGCAATTTTAATGTACAGTCAGGGCAGCACATTTACTTGGACATGGTTATTGTGCCTGATTAGACATCATTACATGGATGCAGGCTAGACATGGCCATAAGTGAGGTGGTTTAACTGTCATATGTATTATACAATATGGGAAGATATGTCCAAATGTTTATCAATGCCATGTGTAAATGGTCTTCAGGCCCAACAGTTTTTCATATACAGTTTAAAGCTTGGAGCTCATTATGAACAATGTGGATCATCTATACAATGTAGACAGATGTTTGGAGGAGACTTCCTCTTTGCATCACACCACTTATTGGTGTTTGCATGTTGGTATGGATGTAAATGTCTGCATGCATGCATGTTTGCATGTGCGCGTGCACATGCATAAGTACGCTTGTACTTGTGGAAGATGTTTAACGAGACTCCATCTTGAACAATCCGATCAGTGACCCATGCCTTTCATCTTGAATTGCACACAAAGTTGTAACATGTCTCATAACGCATTTGGTTTGTGAGTAACGCATATGATTTCAGTGCCAATTAGAGGAATTGTGTGGGGTAATGAATAATCAATCTTCACTTATACACAGATACACACTAATTCATTCCCAAGTGCTTATCTGTTTCCTACCCAATAGAGATCATTATCTCCTTCATATCTTGCTCTGAAGTTAACTGTAGCTATTAAGTCCCTTCGACTTCCTTCTCTTTTCTCATACACTAGGTAAATAAAAAGAAACGACTAACAATTATTTAAATTTCATGCTCTATGTACGTCTGATTCTCTCCCCAAACCCCACCCTCCACCCACTTGCAAACCATCCCCATCCTGTTCAAATCACAGAACGAAAGATCCACGCCTGGTTGGCCAACCAAGAAAACAACAGTATTATGTTGACCCTCTACTCACAAGCCACCAATTCAATTGCTGTCAGCACCAACCTAAAAGTACAAGAAAAAAGTGAAAAATAATGAACCAACCCATGCTAACGTCTTATTATCATCATCACTGTCCATTCAACCTCAGAACACTACCCTATAATCTACCACTGTTCCCCTTTTAGAGAGGGGAGAGAGAGGGAACCACCGTGTGGCTGCAAATTCATGTTGCTGAAGTGAACCATAAAACTGTCTTTAAATCACTAGAGTAAGAGTCCAACTTCTACCCAAAAGAATTAATTTTAAACTCCTTAACGTCTTATTATCATCATCACTGTCCATTCAACCTCAGAACACTACCCTAATGCTATCTACCACTGTTCCCCTTTTAGAGAGGGGGGAGAGAGGGAATCACCGTGTGGCTGCAAATTCATGTTGCTGAAGTGAAACGTAAAACTGTCTTTAAATCACTAGAGGAAGAGTCCAACTTCTACCCAAAAGAATTAATTTTAAACTCCTGCATAGTGGGATTATTTATATGCATAGCCCACATTGGTCAAGCTAAGTATTGTGACTGGTTTATTAACTCTTAAACTCCGGGACAATGGGCCTATATATGTGCCTAGCCTTGATAGGCAACTAGCGGGTTGACTGCTTTCTGTGGGTGGATAACCCGATCTTAAAGTGGGCTAAGGTTGCATCCATTTTGCAGCATTGTAAGTCACCACTTGCTCCATTTTGTATAAACACTTTCCGCACGTTTATTAGTTTGATAATGAGAAATTAAGCGGTTTTAAAACTTTTTTACCAATACATCAAACCATCATTTTTCTTTGGCTAAAATAGTAGATCTTTTCAAATTACTAGATGCATAAATAAAAAGTCTCAAATTGCTGCTGATTTTGGTGCATTCATCAAGATGGAGTGAGTGTGATGTGTGCTTATCTATAAAACGATATCAAATGATTCTTAAATTAAGCGAGAAATACACTGTAACTATCCCATGGATGATTCATATGTTCATATTTGGTCTAAATATCTAATTTAGCTGAAAATGAGAAATCAAGTGGTTTAAGAGCTCTAAATTTGCATTAAATGATGACTAAACTATGGTTTCTGTTGGAACTATTAGATATAGAACCATTAGATATACTAGCATATTAGCACATGCAAGTAACATTAATTTTTTTATGTAAACAATTCCTGGCCCTATATGTTCATTTAATGTGTATGTATAGGATATTTAGTAAAAATTGCACGTGCATAATACACATGATCAAAATACTACAAATTTATTAAAAATTGTGTATACCTTTCATTCAGGTAAGAGGAATGAAATTGAGCTTAAATTCGCACAATAGCTTTATTGATCATAGTAGATCTAATAAAATAATTTTTATTTAATTTATTTTCTGTTTTTTTTTAGTTTTTCGGTTGTAAAAGGAGCTTGGCAGATCTAGAAATTTTTTTTAGGGGGGCAAACAACAAGTACCTATTTACTCAAAATTAAAATTTAATGTTATAAAAAAAAATTATATTTCGAACTTATGTAGTCTAGAACTCATGTAGGGTGCAAATATTTTTTAATTATGGGGTGGGGGGAGAAAATTACAAGTTTGCAATACTATAGAATGTAATTTTGTATAATCTTAGAGGTGCAACTGGCTCCTTAAGGTTATATATGAATCCACCCCTAAACATGAGGATATATTAATTTTAGATTAAAGCAACATAAGCAAATTATCCAATATTTATAATATTTTAGTTCTTAAAATATCCATAATTATATATTATATATATGTTAAATAAGACTCTTATTTAAATATTGTCACTACTTAATGTACATTGCGTTACATTTCTATTTTTTCAATCATATAACTTTTAAAAGGGTTGTGCATAATATTTTATTTTTGTGAAAGACATGGAGGAATGAAAGTGACGAACCTTCTAGGGGTGGGGGAGGGGGAGGGGGAGGGGAGAGAGCTGGGACCCACATCAAATAATGATTTTGAAGAATGACAAAATTACCTTTACCTTTTACTAAAATGAACCTCTAATCTTTAACAAATTGAAGGAACAGTGATCTATTTCTCCTAATTTATATACCCCCTTAATGTTTTTCATAGACTAGTATAGATAATTAAGAACTTTTCAATATCTTGGCCTCTTAAGTTTAGATTATAGACTACTTTTGGTGTGTATAACAAAATTTAGTGTGCTAATCCTCCTTACTTTTTTGATTAAGCATTATAGCTCATTTGAACTATACACTTTTTATTTATCAGTATGAAGTTTAATGCTCGTCCATTCTATATGTCAAATGCTTATTATTTACAGGGAAGATATGATATGTGCTGCCCTATGATGTCTGCTTGGGATCTTCATAAAGCATGGCCGGAGGCTGAGTTTAAGGTCTGACACTCTTGCTCCATATAGTACATTCCAGAATACATAATACTTGTATTCTCTTGCATTGGACCACTGTTTCTTAAAATATGCTGTAACGGTGTAACCTCATTCTGTAGCATATTCAAGCACTTTTGCCTTATAGCACGGTGGAGGCAGGCTTTAAGTTTTATTAATAAATTTAGCATAAATACACTAATGAACACTATTATGTTTAAAATCATAGGACAAAATAAGGGAATTAAACTTTTCATGTCACTATTTTGGTGCTCATTTAAGACCATAAATAGACTTAATTAGTTTACATATTTTTCTTCATTTCCTAGAAGAATAAACCTTTCGGGTTTCCAATGTAAACCTACTTATTTAAATCTCCATTTAAGAAGTCAGTCTTGACATTCATTTGATGTACAAGTAATTTATGTATAGATGCTAAAGCCTTAAGAATTCTAATAGATGTTTTGCATGGTACATATGTATTAAAGTAATCTATGCTTTCTTTTTGTCTAAACCCTTTAACTACTAATCTAGTCTTAAAATGTTGAATTGAACCATCACAATGATATTTTTTTTCAAAAACCCATTTAGAGCCTATTGGCTTTGATGCTTGAGGTAAATCTACTAAAATTCAAGTTTTATTCCCTATTATAGAATCCATCTCATCGTTGATAGCTTTCTTTCAAAATGTAGCATTTCTAGATGACATTTCTTCTATAAAGGTTTTAGGATCATCATCTGGATTAAAACTTATAGTTTATTTATTTAAAATATTGTTATTCCTTACACCTTCAAGAAGAAAAATAATTTGTTGAGAAGAAATAAAATTCGAAGGTAAAGTTTTTTCTTTCCTTTGTCTAGTACTTCATCTTGGTTTTAATATTTCTTTAGATGCAGCAGTTTCCTTAGCATTAGAATCAGAGCTAGGAATATTACTAGAACTCGGCAAAACAGGAAATTTTTAATATTTTTAGAATATGTAGAAAACTTATTTTAAAAAAATTCAACATCTCTAGATTCAGCAATGGTATTAGAAGATAAATCAAGTAGTCTCTTGCTTATACATTATAACCTACTGAAAGCTAGTACTTTTCATTTCATCACCACCTGATTTCTTCTTCAAATTACATTTAGCATGGTAACCTTAAGGAGCAGACTGTAGTTCTTTGCTTCGAGAATTTTAGGCTCGTATAGTAATGTTTTGAAACTAAAGACTAATTTGAAGCTCTAAGTGTCTTTTTTCCAAACTTGGATCAGATTTGATTGTTGCTTTGTTGGAGCTTGAACAATATTAATGATGAGATAGATTTCCCATTCATTTAACTAGCCTTCAAGGTTATATAAGGCTTCTTTTGGTATTAGTTGACTTTTTTAAGAATTTGGGACCATATTAGAGGGGATTTAAAGTCAATTGCCAACTGACATGTGGTCAAAACTTTATGGGGAATTTTTTGGATCTAAAGTTGCATTCAGTAGCCCACATGTTTTGATGGAAAAGGCATTGATGATGATGTTGATGAATGTCCAAGGGAATTGAATTCTTGTCTTTTATGGATATAGAAATTATGAAGCAATTCATTTACCTTTGTGCAGTAAATATAAATTTTTGGTAAATTTCACAAACCCCCCAAAACTTTGAGGTGTTTCCTACAAAAACCCTTGAACATCGTCTTTCCCACTTACACAAAACTTTTCCCACAACTTGCAAAACCCCTAAAACTCAAAGAATCTCAAATAACTCTACAACATTGTTAATTTTCCCACAAAACCCCTCAAAAAGCAAGGAGAAGAGGAGCCCCAAAGAAAATAAGGAAAGAACAGAATTAGACAGATAATAAGGTCCTCCAATTAGAAGAGACTTTTTGAGGGGTTGTGTGGGTTTTCTAGG